AAAAAAAAAAAGAGATTTGCATCTCTTTCCCAACACAGCTGGGGAGGGCCTGACTAGCCCTGGGCTTCAGCTGTGTAAATACTGAGCTTTAGCAGTGCTTGGAAAGAAAACAGGAGCAAAACTTGTACCAACCAATGTGAAAACTGAACAATACAGTTTTATTATTGATTGTTTCCCGTGTGTCTGAGAGTTTTCTACACAAGGAAAGGTAATTTTACTACTTTCCCTTAGATTTTATGGTGTGAAAGCGTGATAAACATCATGCCCATTAAACCCATTGGCATGCTGTCAGGTTTCCCCATCATGACCCCAGAGCATAGGGAACGACGGCCTCAGAGTGTTTTCAAGACTGTAAGTCTTTACAGAATCATCCTGCCACATCTTTCTACAACAGAGTGGCTTATAGGTTTGAACAGATGACTTTTTGGTTCAAAGCAGCTTAGTACTTGACCCATTTTGTTACTGTGACTGCAGTGATCTGCAGGCAAGAAGCTGCCCTGCAATCTCAAAGACACGTGGTTCGAATCCACCAACTGCTCTATGGGAGAAAGATAGGCAGTCTCCCCCCCTCCCCCCCCTTCAGTTTATTACCTCTGTAAACCCACCTATAGAGAGTCAGCTATGGATCTCTTCCAACTTGACGATACTCAGCAATGAGAATTGTAAGGAGCATAAAAACATTGCTTTCAGAAAATAGATGGTTTTCCCCCTCAGGCTGTAGTTTCTTATGACCTGTGACCATAGAGTCCCCCCTGTAAGACCTACCACCCACTTTATAGTAAACATCGTAACATACCTGAGACAATTACTGAACATTTTCTTACCATCTATTGTGAACCCAATGTTTCAAAACTCTAATTAGGGCGCTTGCATGATTTCTACTTCAAAAGGCATCTGTTAGTAGCTAATTTCACTTTAATACCAGATGAATAAAATAATGGAGTACAGTTTTTAGTAATAGTTTATTTATTAATGTTAGGGAATTTCACAGCATTTTTCTACCAATTTCAGGATTGCATTGGTTATTTAAAATATGCTTCTTTTTTGCCATTTCCCAGGGTCATGGAATAAGTTTTAACTCCTGGCAGACCCTAGCTGTTTGTCAGTTGAATCCTGCTTCTTTTGGGTTTTCAGTTGCTCCTTTTTAGGTGGTAGTTGGCCAGGGCATTGACCCAGGGCATCCTTAGACTCCTAAGTAATTCCGCACCTGAGGGTGGGGAGCCTGGACTGAAGAGGATGGATGAGCTGTTGCTGATGCCCCTTTGTAGTGGGTAGAGTGTCGTCATCATTCCCGCTCCTGCACACTGAAGCCAGTCAGACAAGATGAAGAATGAGACAGGTTTTACACTGTCTCACACTGGAAGAAATGGCTTCAAAGGACTTCATAAGTTTGAATTTGTCATCTGCTATTAATATTAGAGTCCAACTTGAAACCTGTCAAGATCTGAAATCAGCCAGAGTTAAATTTATGAGAAGAAATCTCTTACATTCTCCTATTTTGTGTGTGTATATTCTGAAACCTACAAAGGTTTGTTCACTTGTGTTAAAGGTTGAATGGTGTCTCAAAAAAAAATCTATGTTGTAAGTTCTAACTCCTGTACATGCTCCTTCGGGGAGTTTTCATGACCTAATGGTTAAGAAGCTCTGCTGCAATCCCAAAGCATGTGGTTCAAATGGACCAGCTGCTCCATAGGAGAAAGAGGGGCAGTCTTCACTCATGCAATTAACTGCCTCTAAAAACCTGCTGAAGGGCCAGCTGTGGGTTGGTTCTGACTCAGCAGCACACAGTGACAATATACATACCTGTAGGTTTTATCTTACTGTGGAATGGAATTTTCTTTGTTACTTTAATGAAGCCATGTAAATATACTTGATGATGCTGTTGTTGAGTATCGTAGACTCAGAACTGACCCATAGCTGACCTTCCAGTGGATTTTCAGAAACAGTAAATTGAATGGGAGGAGATTGCCTGTCTGGTGGATTTGAACGGCATGCCTTTGGGATTATAGCACAGCTTCTTTCCACTACACCATCAGAGTTACCTATATCAGTGTAGAGTGTATTTTAAACCAATCACTTTTAAGCTATAAAAGAGTAGGCTAAGCACAAAAGCAAGTAGACGTGGGGGAACATCAGTGCCACTTGCATATCTGTAAGAAATATCCAGAACAATCCCGGAGTAAAAGGGATTCAGGTGGCCTAGTGGAAAGGAGTTGCTCTGGTAACTCAAAACTACATGGTTTTCTTTTGTTCTTTTGCTTTTCAAGGAGAGGAGCAAAAGGGGGGGGGAGGGGTTTGTGCGGGGAGAAGGGTGCAACAATGAAGGAATGGAATTCCAAAATCTCTGTAGATGTTCATTGAAATGAAAAATAAACAACCTAAATTAAAAAAAAAAAAAAAACTACATGGTTCAAATCCACCAGCTGCTCCTTGGGAGAAGATGGACAATCTCCTCTTATGCAGTTAACCACCTCTGAAAAGCCACTGGAGGGCCAGCTCTGGGAGAATTCTGATTCAGTGGTACACGGCAGCGGCAATAAGAGCTAATACAGAAACACACATAAATGTACACTTAATTCAAACCTTTAGCCTCTTCAACTGTGTTAAAATATATTTCTTTTCATTAAAAACACCCAATTGTGCCATTTCTTTTATAGCAACACTAAGAAACAACTGTTTATTTTTAATGCTATAGGAGAAAGGCAAGAAGAGTTAGTTTTCTGATAGGAATCATGTGACCTTGCATTTTAAATATGTCCTTTTTTGATATATTAATCAGATTTCACAACTATACCCTGCCAAAATAAATACGTAGGAAACAACTGGGGAAAATAATACATTAATGTTTTCTATATTGTAATTGTCTGCCAGTTTAAAAATAAAGTGAATGTTGACACTCAAGTCCGTCTGCATGAAACCACAAGGGATCAAATGAAAGTAGTTCACTGGAATTATGTATTTGTTAGACTAATAGCCAGCTTCCTATTTGTTATAGAATTTGATCGATTACAGGTGGTTAATGCATTCATAGTACTGCAGGCAGTCATTTGAACCCTATTGATTGTGATAGAGATTAGGCTGTTTCCCAGTTTGATATTATTAGGTGCCATCAAGTCTGTGCTGACTCACAGGGACTCTGAGTACTGCAGAGCCAAGCATGGCCCTGTTCTGCATGATGCTTACGATTCTTGATGTGTTTAAGCCCGTCATCGCGTGTTTAAGCCCGTCGTCGCAGTCCCTGTATCCGTTCACGTCAATGAGGAAGTCTTCTGTTTTCACTGACCCTGAGTATGGTGTCTTCTAGGAACTGTTTCCTTCCCCCATACACACACCTTGGTTTTATAAAAATCACTTTTTTATTGAAAAATAGCCATGTCCATCCATTTAAGAATGTTTGTCAACTCCTGATCTACAGCTGTGGTTCTCGAACTTTGTTGATTTTAAACAAACTTATTATTTTATTGTGTTTTTAATGAAGCCTTATAAAGGTTGGGTTTTCACTGTTGCACATTTTTCTTCCCCTCGCCAGTCCACTTTGCAGTGTACCTCTTGTTCCAGATTGTTGTCATTCATACTTTCAGACAGTTCTTCCCGTCATGTGTTCCAGTGCAGTGTTCATTATCAGTCCATTCTTTTCCTGTCCTCCTCCCAAACCCCGTTAGTCCTATTTTATAAAAGCAGTGTTATATAGTGTTTGTCATTTTGTGATTGAGATATTTCACTCAGCATAATGTCTTCCAGGCTCACCCAGGTTGTGTAGCCTTTTACGAGCTCATTGTTTTCAGTGCTACATTAAAGTCCATTGTATGAAATGGTTCCCTTTTAATAACTTGTCTAAAGTACTTAGATGTGGAAGCAGGAGTGGCATCCACTTCCTAAACAACATGCTTCCGAAAACTCTATGAACTTTGCTAAATGTTGATAGTTGTAGAGGGGCTTTTGATCGTAGGGTTACTATAAGTTGTGCTCAACTCAAAGGCAAACAACAACAACAACAAAGTACTTGATACCGTCCTTGCTTCTAGAGAGCATTCTTCCTCCGTCATAGTATTTTGTTGTTGTTGTTGTTGTTGTTCTGGAAGTCTGTAATATGTTTTATACTCTTTACTAACAACATAATTCAAAGACATAAATTCTTCCAAACCTAATATTTTTAAGAAGATTGAATTTCTTTTTTTAAAAAAAAAATTCCAATTGGTTTAACTTAAATAACTTGTATTTTTAAAGTGAGTGTATTTTTGTGCTCATGATTTGTATTCCTTCATGTAATCTGTTTTTGTCTTTAGTCGCAGAGGGTTAAACCGAGTGCAGTAGAATATAATTTGTTTTGGGTCACACTTGAACTGAGACTAGAACCAGGCTTTGAAATCCTACCCTGAGGCATAGCTGGCACTTCATATTTTATTCAGTGTTTATATATATAACAATGTAAATCCTTATATTCCCGGTGATGAAGTATTATTTATAGATTTTCGATGACTCCATTGTTTCCCCAGAGAGTTTCTTCTACTTCGAACGATGCAAGAAAACTTGGGGAATATGGTTGATTCAAGTAATCATCTAAGGGTTAAATATTTTGTGTGGCCCCTACATTTCTGGTCCAGTGTTGGGGAAAGTTTTCATTGATTTAAGTAGGTGTTACAGCTCAGTAAAGAATGGTCCTAGGCTTGGCAGGAAAGCATATATGGAAACTCTGCTCACAGCCAAATGTACACGAATAAAGTAATTGGTTAACGTAAAAGGAAATTATTTTGACAGATTTACACTCCTGGGGCGTGTTAAAAATCTACCAAAATTCAGGACGCATGTGCATTTTCATCTTGAAGTTGAAGAATCAGGCAGTGAAAGTGGAAAGCAAGGTTCTTTCAGTAGATAAAATGCTACAGAAAGATCCCTTTGGTTGCTTGTTGTTCAGCCATTGTGTTTTCAACTCATTTGCATTCCATGTAGATCTATTATGTCTTTTCAACACTCTTTTTGCTTTCTCTACCCTTCAGAAGTAGATGTGGATCAACCTAAAGAAGAAAAGAAAGAATGCTACTATAACCTAAATGATGCCAGTCTCTGTGATAATGTCCTGGCCCCCAATGTCACCAAACAGGAATGCTGCTGCACCTCAGGTGCTGGATGGGGTGATAACTGTGAGATCTTCCCCTGCCCAGTTTTGGGAACTGGTAAGAAACTCCCAAGAGCTACACTCACACTTGTGTTTGTCATATGATGTCCATGGGCCCTCAAATGTTGTCATTTTGATGACTGTGTTGAAACCTGGACCTGTCATAGCACCTGTCATAGTCACCTTAAAGTGGGATAGCAGTGAATTCCAGTTAGAGGTGGAGTTGTCACATTTACCCCACCTCAGTATGAATTCTTATATGTATTTCTGTCTGTCACAGAGTATACTGTCGTGAGATCCCATCTGCTATTTTGAAAGAAAAATAATGCAAAATCACTCCCTTTTTAAATTGAAATAAGTCTTTTCCACTAACAGTGACACATCATTATCTCTAACTTGGTTGCTAGTTACCACTGAATTAATTCAGACTCATTGGCTGTTAACTTATAGAACCATTTCACGAGGCTTATCTTCTAAGTCTTCTTTGGGTGAGTTCAAATTGCCAGCTCTTTGACTGGTAGTTGAATGTGTAACCATTTGTGCCACCCAGCGATTCCTACTCATGGCAGTTGTAATTGTTGTGTTCCATGGAGTATGTATAACTGTATAACATGATAAAGTGTAACTGTGGCATTAAGTTTTGAGGCCGTAAGCTTTACAGGAGCAGACTCCAAGGTCTTTTCTCCCATGGAACAGCCAGTGGGTTTGACCTTCTGACCTTCCAACTTGGTATGCAAGTACACTAACCAGTGCGGCACCCGGGTTCCTTATCCATAACTTCTTTTTTTCTGTTAAATGTCTTCAAGTTGAATATGCGTAATACCCCCATAAATGACAAAGCTGAACCTTGTCCTGTCCTGTGCCATCTCTGTCACCCCTGACATACTTGAGCCCATTAGAGCTTTTTTATTTAGGTGAGACTTTCTTAGTTTCTTACTAAGCCTATAAAATACTGGAAATCATGATCATTGAGAAATAATAGTCAAAACATCAACTTTATAATGGGTGAAATATGGTTTGAGCTGCACTTTTTTAATATGTTTGTGTGTATGTATATGTAATATATAATTTATCATAATAAATCATTGTATTTATTTACATCTAATTCATAATTTTCGGGATTGTGCAGAATTGTTTTGCCTGAATTATATGGAAAATACTGGCCCAGGAAGAAGTGAAACTAAGAAAGCAATACTCATATGAAAAGGAAAATTATTTCTATATTACACTGATTTGTTTGTTTGTTTGTTTCTTTTCTTGGTTGTTTTCTCCCTTGAAATCAGTGGAATTTACTGAAATGTGTCCTAGAGGGAAAGGTTTTGTCCCCACTGGAGAACCTTCTCATGGAGTTGATGACCAGAACTATAAAGGTCAGAATCAAGTAACATGTCTTCATGTCAGATATTCAAGTGAAAATGTAGATTGGGTCTTGCAGAGTTAATGTCCTTTCATTGATGTTGTTTGCCACTGAGTTGAAACCAACTTGTTGCTGACCATTCAGTGGGTTTTCATAGGCTGTAAATCACATGGTAAGAGACTGTTTATCCATCCTTCACAGAGCAGCTGGTGATTTTGGACCATCTGCCTTTAGGTTTGTAGCACACCTCCTTACCATAAGGCCACCTCCCCTGAAGTCCTTTTACTTATTATGAGAAACAGTTGCAGAAATTTTAATTCTACTGTTAGAAGAAGGCGTCTGTCGGTTCACTGAAGCGCCATGAATTGAGAGTCAGAATACTTGAGGCTCTGTGACACTGGGAGTTTCCACATTTTGAGCCTCTTAACATTTTCTTTCTGAAATAAAAACAATGTCTTGAAGCTTATTCAGGGGATTAATAGAAGTAATAGCCATTAAAACACAAAATAGAAAATCCTGTACTTAGTAGATAGTCAATAGGTTTATTCTTTCACTCCAAACCTGGATTAGAAATCACATAAATTATTATCATCTACATTTGACCACCATCATGCTTGACTTTTATTACCAGCTAAGCTGAGATTCTTCCTATTTCTGGGACTTTTTACTAATGGTCGTAGTTTGATAATAAGAGGAGGAAAAGATCAGAATGAAAGTAGCTGTGGTTAATAAACTTAATACTGTTTTTCTGGAATTCCAGAACAAATGTGTAGCTTTTATATTTTGATTAAATTTGAACCACATGTATAATTTTTTTGTCACCCGCTCACTTTATACATTTCCATGGTAGAAATATTATTACTTCTTATATACAAAGTGATTTCTTTTCTTTACAATTTAATATTAAAAGTGGCTAAGCTATTTGAAAGCATACTATGAAAGTATTTTTATTGTTCATCCATTTTTTAAAATTAGTGTTTTAATAATAGGGCATATGATTCAGGGGTTGGATAAGAAATTCCATATGTTTTTTAATACATTCTGTGATTTAGTCTAAATTGTAAGAAGACTTGAGTTTGCAATATGAGTGCTTAATGCAGTATGCATTGACGTTCACAAATATCTGAGATTATATTTTTTCCAGAGATGTAGTTCAATCTCATTTTATCTCATCAACAGGGCTGATTTTACCAAAGATTCATTCTCCTTTTTATATAAAAATAAATCTATGTTATTTTAGCAGTGCTACAGATGTTTAGTTGGAAGGAGGAGTGACATCCACTTCCATAATAGCTTGCCTCCGGAAACCCTGTGAACCTGGAGAGAGGATGAGAGACACACAAGTGTTGAGGACTCTCCGTCATAGGGTCGCTATGAGTCACCTGCGAGTCGACGGCACTTAACAACAACAACAACACAGATTTTTAGATCAGGATTGGATTCAGATCCAGTGAGGGGGGGGAAAAAGAAAAACAGATCCAGTGAGCCACAGGTTGTAAGCTTGTGACATTTTCTGGCAGTACCACTTTAAGCAAGTCATCATGTTGTTGTTATTATGTACCATTAGGTAGGAACTGATGTTGTTGTTGTTGTTATGTGCCATCGAGTCGCCTACGACTCATAGCGACCCTATGTACAACAGCCCTAAACTCCGCTCTGTCCTGTGCCAATCGCACTGTCTCCGACACTCCCATCCCAATTATACCAGTCACTGAATCAATCCACCTCATAGAAGGCCTTCCTCTCCTGCGCTGTCCCTCCACCCTCCCAAGCATGATGTCCCTCTCCAAGGACCGGTCTGTCCTCACAACATGTCCAAAGTATGTTAGACGGAGCCTCAGAATCCTTGCCTCCAAGGAGCCACCCAGTTTAACCCTTTCCAGGACAAATCTGTTTGTTTTCCTAGCAGTCCATGGTATTCTCAATACTCTTCTCCAGCACCACAGCTCAAAGGCATCAATTCTCCTTCTATCCTCCTTGGTCACTGTCCAATTCTCTGATGCGTAACAAGTGATTGGGAAGACCAAAGCCTGTATCAGATGCACCTTAGTCTCCAGAGAGACACCATTGCTCTTCAGTACTTTGGAGAGGTCCCTAACAGCAGACTTTCCCATGGCAATGCACCTTTTGATTTCCTGGCTGCTGGTGCCAAGACTGTTGACTATGGAGCCAAGCAAACTAAAGCTGTGTACAATCTCAATCTCTTCACCATCCATCCTGATGCTGCCAATTGGTCCAGTGGTGAGAATCTTTGTCTCCTTGACATTGAGCCTCAATCCATATTGTAGGCTGCAGTCCTTGACACTCTGCAGCAGGCGCTTCAGGTCCTCTTCAGTTTCAGCAAGCAGGGTTGTGTCATCCGCGTACCGCAGGTTGTTGATAAATCGTCCACCAATCCTGACCTCACATTTCTCCTCATAGAGCCCAGCCTCCTGGATAATCTGTTCTGCATATAGGTTGCAAAGGTATGGAGATAGGATGCATCCCTGGCGTACGCCCTTCCCAATTTTGAACCATGCAGTGTTCCCTTGCTCTCTTCTGACGACTGCCTCCTGGTCCAAGTATAAGTTTCTCATTAGAACGATCAAGTGTTCTGGGATTCCCATTTTTCTCAGAGTCAGCCATATTTTGTTATGATCTACAGAGTCAAATGCCTTTGCATAGTCAATGAAACACAGATAGACATTCCTCTGGTATTCCCTGTTTTCAGCCAAGGTCCATGTAACATCAGCTACAATATCTCTAGTACCATGACCCCTTCTAAACCCAGTCTGAACTTCTGGTAGTTCTCTGCTGATGTGCTGTTCCAGTCGTTTTTGGATAATCTTCAGTAAAATCTTGCTTGCATGTGAAATCAGTGAGATTGTTCTGTAGTTTCCACATTCGGTTGGGTCACCTTTCTTTGGGATAGGAACAAATATAGATCTCTTCCAGTCAGTTGGCCAAGTGGTCGTTCTCCAGATTTCTTGGCACAACTTGGTGAGCACGTCCATGGCAGCATCTGTTAACTGAAATATGTCAATTGGTATACCATCTATTCCTGGAGCCTTATTTTTTGCCATTTCCTTCAAAGCAGCCTGAACTTCTTCTTTCATCACCATAGGCTCTTGCTCATATGTTGTGTCATGAAATTCTTCTGTGTCTTCCAATTCCTTTCGATACAGTGACTCAGTATACTCCTTCCATCTTCTTTTAATACTTCCTGGATCACTTAACATCAGATGCAGTCACAGAATTTGATTGCCGACCTTTCTCCTGCAGAATAGCTAGTGTATTCAAACCATGTCCCACTGAGATGGCAGCCCAAAGACTTAAGCCATCAGTTATCACTTAGTCCTTAATTTTAAAATTGCAGATTAAGTGGCTTTTGTTCTAAAACATTAGAAATGATTCTGTTGGTAACAAAAGAAATCAATAGAGAACCTCTTTTGAGCATTTACAGGAACCATGAGTCCTCTACAGGGAGGGTCTCATTTCATTCTCTCCATCTTATTGACTAGGTGTTTGTATCATCCCTAATTTATTCGTGTGTAAACTTGGAGCTGCAAGAGTTCTAAATTTTATGGAGGAAAAACTACCAAAATCTTCTGCATTTTGTGCTTTCATTAACTTTATGACAAAAGAAAAGTGTGATCACATTCCTTTTAAGAGCTTAATTCTGAATTATCAAATGGACCAGAGTCAACACTAACCAAGATGTACATTTTTAAAGAGAGAAATTCTTTAGAGATTCTGTTAGGTGCCATTAGAGGGTCCATAGTTCACCAAATAAAATATGCCATCTCACGACCATATT